CTATTATTTCCATTTGTTCTATTGATAGTCGAGGAAATAAAAATTCATCTTCAAAAATGCATTAGTGCCTAAGAAAATTGTAATCTTATAAGTGCATTGAAAAGTTGCAAAAGAACTCCTTCAATAATGTTAAAAATAAGTCCAATTTTGTTACTAGGGAGTTTTGAGGGTCGCTGATGAACACAAATATGTAATCGGCGACGGCTTACAATGAAGGTTTAGATGAAAACTGTTTAAAAAAACTTTGTAAAACAATTATTTTTAAAAATTATGCTTCAAATATTTATTAAAAAGTATTATATATCCAAAAACCAGTGTATTAAAAAAATAGAAAAAACCTTATATCATAAATCAAATCAGTCAATATCATTTATCAAATCATCGATAACTAAGCACAAGAGGTATATCAGAGGTTGTCGCCGACTGCATATTCATGTTCAGTAACCCCCAAACCCCCTAATAACTAATTTCAATTGATTTTTAATTAATTTAAAGCATAACTCCTACAAGCGACGTTTATGACGATCACATTGGGTCCCAAGTACCGTCGCCGACTGCATATTCCTGTTTAGCAACCCTCAAAACCCTTATTACTTACTTCTATAATTATTTATCGTGCTTCTTCTGTAGCAACTGTACAATGCACTTATAAAACTACATTTTTCTTCTTCATCAATACTTTGAAGATGAACTGATCTCTTATGCTCACAAAACTTGTAGACGGTCTCATGAATCGAATATTTACAGAAAACCGCATTTCGATTTGAAAAATTCGATGGTTTGGTCCTTTTTTATGTTTTATTTCCTTTACTATGCTTTATACTTCGTAATCTGTCTGGTTCTTCCCCGAGTTTTCCTTCAATGCCAATAATAGACCTATTTTCCCATACCGTTCTATAATCCTACTTCATTTTTGACATTACCCCTGCCATATCTATACCCCATGACCGATTAGATATTATACGTATATTACCGCTATACAATTACAAGTAATAATGTCAAATTGGTACGTATATTATCCAATTTTGCGATATTTCGCAAAGATACGACGCTGCTGCAAATAAACTCAGATATACAACTATAATTATCTATCCAGCAGGAACTTCGAAAATGGACAACTGATAATTAGTCATCGTTCGTTTATTTCAAATTATTCTGATTAGGTAATATGTATACATATATTTCTATACCGAAAACATAACTTGTAAAATGTACATGTGTCAGTATACTCAATACTTCTCTTTTATTATCTATAGACATTTCTTAACAAAGCCCTGATGAGTAGATTTACAATAAACCTGAATTTCATTTCGACGTATCGTTTGGTTTATTGCAAGAGTCATCATCATAAGGTCGTCAGTCCTAAGACTGGTTGGCTGGACACGCATCTACACTCTTTCCTACCCTGATGCTAATATTCGCATTTCCCTAACACTAAAACAATCCACATCCTTAACTATTTGCGAACAGTCATTTCATCTAGGTATACCTTTACCCGTCCTAACTTCCGTTGCTGCTTCTAATATGACACTGACTAGACCTTCATGCCTGAGAAGGTGTCCTACCAACCTATCACGCCTATTTCTTATTGACTTCAATAGAGTCCTCTGTTCTCATATTCTTTCTAATACCTCTTCATTTCTAACCTTCTCTATCCACGGTACCCTCATCATTCACCTGTAACACCACATTTCGAACGCTTCTAACTTTTTCTTTTCCGCCGCGGCCACCGTCCAAGTTTCACACCCGTATAGCCACGCGCTCCAAACATACACCTTTAACAATCTTTTTCGAATTTCTAAATTAACTGTTCGCGAGCACAGAAGTAACTTCTTTTTATTGAAGGCGAGTAGACCCTGCGCTATCATCTGCTTTATATCCCTACCACTCATTCCGTCCTCACTTATTTGACTTTCTAGATATCTAAAATCAGCCACTTCTTCTAATTATTCGTCTTCTATCTTGCAAAAGTACGTAATTTTAAAATAGTATTATTTATGCTTACGATATTCAAAAAAAGTAAACGCACTGATAAATTAATTAAACAGTAATAGAAACACCATAATCATCAGGCTTGACAAATTACAAACACATTTACTGTAAAAGAACTGATAGGTACCCATATAAAAGAAAAAAGAAGTACAACTACTTATAAGAACAAAAATAAAAGTAATAGAACGTCTTCAGTAAAACCAATAATGATAAAACATCTCTTTAGATTCAAGAAGCGTATAATGTGCAATAAACTTACCTAGTACATTTTATTACATTATCCTCTTCCGAAGATCCTCGTTCTGTCTCCGATTCTTCTTTACAACCGACTAGTTTTTGGGATCTCTGAAAATTAAAAAAATAAAATCAGAAAATTTCAATATTTACACTCTTATTCATACACATTGGAAAACATATCATATTTTCCTTCATTTAGGCATGGATTAAATCGTCCTAAATATACACAGACGTGATCCCATAGAGTGCAGACAAGTGATTTCTTATCCAGAAGGAGGTTAAAGAATTTTGTTTTAAAATTTTGAAATATTTAAAAATTAAAATAATTTTTATATTAAATCAGTAGATTAGCAATTTGTGTAAGTATTAGCAAATTTATTTACTATTTTAAAAAAAATATGTTACCTCCTACATACAGTACTTAGTAATATTAATAAATCTGTAGAAATTTGCTACATATTCAGCAAAGCCCTTTTATGATTAAGATTATCTACTTGTCGAACTGAACCCACGCCAACTGTTCTATTTATTGTACATGCTTTATAACACTGATTACTGCGCTGTCGGTTCAGCTTGACAATTTGACATCCTTTATTAGAAAAAAACCTTGTTGCAATAATATTGACGTGCTCACAATACGTGGCAGATATCTGCAGATGGTATTTATGTTCGTAGTTATTTATTGAAGGCACCAGAAGTAGTGTAAAAAATCTCGTGGGCCATGACATAATGTTGCTTAGTGACAAAACTCCGACTATTCATTGTTATCTAATTTTCACTAAAAGCAGCGAGAAGCACCACGGTTAAGAGTCGAAAGAAACCTTGCAAGTCATTTATTGATTTCACTACCTATAATTAATTTGCCACACATATAACAGCTTGATCAAGTGAAAGCCGTTTCCATACCAGTTAAATAATAATTTCTATTTTTGGTATATTTCATTCATCGAAAGAAGCTATGTTCAAGCGGAAAGATTATTATAGTAGACTATAAATAATTCGTTAAAAATAATAATTAAGGCTATGATTCACCGCATTCTCTTGGTTGAATATTGTATTTACAATTGAAAATTTTGATTTATTTATTTCTAATCCCCGACACAGAGTACATATTATCAATAAAAGAGTGAAATCTTGAGTGATTTGTTTTTGTTTTGGGAAATCAGATAATTCAGGACGGAAGGAGTAGTAGGAATATAAAGCAAAGGATAGCGCAGGGTCACGTCGCCTGCAATAAAAAGAAGTCACTTCTATGCTGGCGAACGATTTATTTAGAAATTCGAAAAAGATTGTTAAAAGTATATGTTTGGAGCGCGACGCTGTACGGGTGCTAAACATGGACGTAGGATATGACGAAAAAGAAAAGGTTTGAAGCGTTCGAAATGTGGTGTACCGGCGAATGATAAGGATACCGTGGATAGAGAAAGTTGGAAATGATGAGGTATAAGAAGGAAAAGGGGGACAGAGGAGTCTATGGAAGTCAATAAAAAATAGGCGAAATAGGTTGATAGGACCCCTTCTCAAGCATGAAAATATGAGTTAAAAGAAGTATAGATAGAACCAGATTAGTTACTGTTCAGAAATATCATGATGTAGATGTTCTAGTTTTAGGGAAATGCAAAGATTAACAAAGAGTGGAGGTACGTGTCCAATCAGTCTTGGGACTGACGACCATATGATGATTGATGATTGTTTTTAATATAATTTGTATTCACAACTTCTGTTTTTATAAAAAATAAATGTGAATGGAACATCCATTTGCGCCATAAAAAAGAATAGCTCATTTTTCCTTAATAAAGAGAAGGTTTCAAACGAATTAAAAATAAAGGAATAAAGGAACCAGGTGCATTTTGTTAAACATATGTTGTGTAATTTACAGTAGCGATAATTTAGCGATGTAAAATCCGCTCCATTAAGGTCAACTGTCATTGATATTTTATCAAACCGGGATAAAAAAAGGATGACAGGGAAAAGGTGAGGAAAAATAAACGTTAATAGAACTCTGATGACAATTATAAAATTGTATAACTTGGCGGAAAAGGATTGCAAGCCGTCGTGTTCAGTTTTTAAAATAACTAATTAACAGTTTTGGCGAAATGTGTAATCTCAAGAAAGAGTGAGTACGTTACAGGCGTGTCCATGCATCTGACGTTTTCCCTTAACAGAGTATTTTCGTGGTAAGCTTCATTTCAAGCTGTACAACAAGTTTATGCTCTAAATTTATTAAAGTCGTTAGTCCCAAGTTAAAAAGACCAACATAAACTGTCAGTTTGCTTACAAATTGTTCTTCCTACAACATGTGATTTGCATAATGAAAAGCGGCTAATGGCTAAAATTAATTTAGCGGAAACTAGTAAATTAAACATATTGCAGTAACGTGAAATAAGAAACAGCTCTTGAATTTTTTGTTTTACATTGCAACAAAAATAAAGGTTGTAAATGGTTGTGAGGAATTATAGTTTCTATTTAATATAGACATCTACTAATAGCAGCTGCTATGTGAAGTATTTCACATGCTTGACAAAAGCCTTATAAAAGCGTTGCATATACAGTGTGTCTGTTACCGAAAATGTATGAAATCCGTTATTGTACCTATACAATTCCCAGGATATGTATATAATTCCTAAAATCGCCAGGAAATGTGAAATAAATTGTATTAGACACATTTCCTAGGAAATCTATACATTTCCTAAATAGCAGTCGGAGATGTATTAGAAATAATACTAAATAGGCAAGGCTGTTTGCAGATGTACCTATATCTCTTGGTGATGTTATTGTTTGGTTAGGGAGATTTATGACAGACTGGAGTTTGTTTAATGTCCCTGCCTGCCGGAGACGGGCTATGTTAGATGTTAGAATAATGTAACTAGGTTATCTTTGTTTAGTATGTTGCAGAGGTAATAATGCTGATCACTTTCATATATATATATATGTTGGGCGCAGAGATCATAATAAAGCATACTTTTTGAAGACATTATTCCAATATAGCCCTTGAAAATATTCCAGTCTGTCATAAATCTACCTTATAACCAAACAATAACGTCAGTAATGAATATACATCTCCAAACCTAACCTAATCAAACAATAACGTGACCAATGCATACACATCAGGCATCATAACGTGTTTTATTCATTTTATTCACAGAAAGCATTAGTTTTGTACATTTTCTAGTACAATATCAAAATTGCATACAATTCCTGGAAAACGTATACACTTCCCAGGATATGTGTGTATTAAAAAATTTTTGAAACAGTATTTTATAGATTTCCTAAATAGCCTCGGAATTGTATACATTTCCTAGGAATATACATACAATCATTGTTTACAATTAAATTTATTATAAGGTTAAATTAACGAACGACAATATTAATTTGAAATCATTTTTTTGATTTTTTATTTACCCACTACAAACTACCTCAAATTAATGAGGGAAAAATTGTTGCTGTTGTCAGAACATTGGTGCGTAAAGCCAAACGTCCCGGGTTCGATTCCCGGCGGGCGTGTGACAACAGCAACAATTTTTCCCTCATTAATTTGAGGTAGTTTCTAGTGGGTAAATAAAAAATCGAAAAAATGATTTCAAATTAATATTGCATATTAATCCACTATTAAGTAACTAACAATGTCATAGGATTTCATATATTTAACGAACGACGTTCGAAATTTCTCTTTTTAAAAAGGTACTCGAAATTTGGGTTTACACTTTGTTAATAAAAAACTTCAAAATTAGTATAATTATCTATTACGGATAACAAACATGCCGTTCCCGAATTAAGTATAACAGCCATATGCCACACACGTGAACTGCCATACATAATTAATATGGGAAGGCTAAAACAAAGCTTTTATACTACACAAGAAATAGTCTAGTTTTGCACTTTATTGGCAATAAGTTGTCAGGAATGTGTTGATTACTATCCATTCACATCGATAACTGTTATAGGTTTATCCATCGGTACTTCTTTGCTAAAGTTTATATATTTGCAAGAGATTTTATTATTTTTAGTAGCTATTCCTAGGATTAAAATATCTTCAATGCCTTATATCTTTATCTTTTAGTTGGCAATTGTAAAGTTCCCTTTGTTCAGTCACAATATTCAACAGTATTGTTCGGATTAATGGTAATTCTTTCCTAAAATCTTCTCTAATGTTTATTGATGCCATTTCTATCTAAATGTCGGAAACAAATTTCCAAAGACAACGGCCAGAAAGCCCTATAGTAAATAATAATCGTATGTATATGTTTCTAGTTAGTAATTTATTGAAACCAACAGGCGTGGATAGCAACTTCAAACTTAAGTTATTATAACTCATCAGCACGCCATAGACAATCTCGATAAATCACTGACCAAATCAAAGGAGCTTTTCAAAAACAAGTTCATCATCATAAGGTCGTCAGTACCAAGACTGGTTGGACACGCACCTCCACTCTTTCCTATTAATCTTCTCATTTCCCTAAAGCTAGAACAACCCATATTCTTAACCATTTGCGAACAGTAATCTAATCTAGGTCTACCTCTACCCCTCCTAACTTCTGTTTCTGCCTCTAATATGTCTCTGACTAGACCTTCATGCCTGAGAAAGTGTCCTACTAACCTAACTCGCCTATTTATTATTGATTTCCATAGAGTCCTCTGTTCTCTTACTGTTTCCAATACCTCTTTATTTCTAACCTTCTCTATCCACGGTATCCTCATCATTCGCCTGTAACACCACATTTCGAACGTTTCTAACCTTTTCTTTTCCGCCGCGTCCACCGTCCATGTTTTGCACTCGTACAGCGCCGTGCTCCAAACATACACCTTTAACAACCTTTTTCGAATTTCTAAATTAACCGTTCGCAAGCATAGAACTGACTTCTTTTTATTGAAGGCGACTCGATCCTGCGCTATCCTCTGCTTTATATCCCTGCTACTCCTTCCTTCCTGAATTATCTGACTTCCTAGATACCTAAAATCGGCCACTTCCTCTAATTTTTCGTCTTCTATCTTTATATTCGCTCTTTCCCTACTTTTCCTTCCCTTGCATATCAGTATTTTTGTTTTCTTTTATTTATTTTCATACAGTACTGTTTTGTCAGTACCGCTTCCATTTTATGTAAAGCTAC